TCTGGAAACTATGTTTTTCACCATTATATTTACAGGGACAAAGTTTACTAAAAAGGCAACAAATTAATTCTTCGAGAAAGTTCTAATCAAGATGTCCTTCAAAAAACAACGGTAATTATTAGTCGGTTTTCATAACACAATACAGACCGAAGAAAGAGAAAATGGAATTTGAATAGCAGATCACCTTGTATAATGTTTTGACTGCCAAATATCATATTCTTTTACAATGTTGTAACCGTAGAACATGAGGTTGGACGCTGTTGTTAGTGTCTGAAGTAGTGCGTGAGTTTTATGCCACACTCAGCAATATTCCAGCTATATGGCAGTCTGAAATACATTACATTGGACAATGATAGGAATGTTGAACATGACTTTGAACAATATAATCACTGTATGGAGGAAATGACATTGTATGTAGAGCATGGCCGTGGACACTGTTGTGACTGTCTGTAGTAATGACCTTGTACAATGTTAGGGCAGTAACGTCACAAAATGGGGAGTATGAATGGAATCACAAATATGAATAACCATTAACACTATATTAACTTGGGTATTTTTTAATGTACATAATTTTAAATACACCCCCCGTCCATGATACAGACAATGTGCTTTAATTTTTTCCCCAAAAGCATATTTAAAACAACCTGTCAACAAATATATACTGTTGTACACAAGTTAGTTTTGGTATAAAAAATTGTTCATCTCATATCTGACTTATTGGTTTTGAGTATTTTATGAAATTTGTTTAAACTTCATTCAATATTCTTTCTACTAATTTCGGAAAATTTGTTTGAGAAATGTCGGTCAGGTCATACATATTCAACAGTATCTACCAAGAAAAAGATCAGATTACTGCTAATGCTATTGACATCTTAACATGAAACTTATGAGAAAATAGATACATGCAATATACATGCCACACTTTTATTGTACTTGTTGTCATTTGACTTTTGTTTGTCTGCATGTATTCAACACTGAAATAGAAAAGTCCATGGAAACCTTCATGTCGTGATCGCTGATAAGTTGATTTCAATGACTTTTCTGTTTCCTACATAGAGAAATAACTGCCTATACACCTAAGTGCTAGGTTTCATTGCAAAATTTCAGAATTTTCATTGACCAAATATACTTATTTCCTGCAAATGTTCATGAAAAACTTGTACTCAGTAATGGGCTGCGTATATGCTTACTGAAATGTGAATCAACACAAACAATATAGCTGTCTGATAACTTTCACATGACCCTTTCACAGGTGAATTTATGAAAGTATCTATAGATCAAAAGAGACTTTAAAATAAAAACATAGTTTTAGTCATAGGGTGTTTGTCTGCAATTGATAATACAGGGGCGGATACAGCTTTTTGAGAAGGGGGGTGCACACTCTTGGAAAGTTGGACACTTCATTTTCACGAGAGTTCCAATGGTCATTTAATAAACTTTCATGACAAAAGAGGGGGTGCGCGCCCCTGCACTCCCCCTCTGAAACCGCCTATTTAATATTCACATTAAACACTATGGAGGAGACATGGAAGACTGTTGCTTCTTTGCAACATTCAGAAGTGTTCATGTAACAAGCCCGAAGTCCCACTGTTACCATGGTGATGTGAGAGCCTCATGGTTTAGTGTGCAGCAATTACTTTCCTTATGCTTTTCTATTCACTGCAATATAACGAAAAATAAATGTTTTTCCACACCAGATACATCAGTAATGTTGTAGTATCAAGTGGCAGCAACCCACTGTTGTCATCCTCCAAGCTGTTACAGCATGTGCTGTATAGCTACTGTATTAACATACATAGTGGTTTAAACGATATATACACCTAACTGTTGGCTCGACAAATCAAGGCACAGAGCAGTACCGTTAAATACGTTTAATTGTTTTTGTCCAACTGCTTTTATCTATTAAACTATTAATTAATTTGTTCAGCTTAAACTAATCATCAACAATTGATGTGAAAATTTTGAACTGTAATTGGCACAAAGCCAATGACACTGAACAACTTATCTAAGTGGCCTGCAGTTATGGATCTGGTCTCAATGAACACACAGCTATGGGTGGTCCTATATTTTGTTCCCATAATACTTCTATTTGTGGAGCATTCCACACTATAAACCCTGCCATAATGTACATGACTGACGAATCGTAATCAAAGAGGAAGGCAACACAATTTGCCTCCTGGAAATATTGCCTTCATACTGTACTTAATTTTTTTATCATGTACTGATCTATGCACTACTTTTGGGTTGCAATTATCATGATATATGCTTTACCGGCCTGGTTTCCTCATTCATGAGTAAATATATTGTTTCACAACCTGAAATACATGTAGCTTTACCTGAAGTGTTTAAGAGTTTTATTTGAACCATGTTGTGATCAGAAGCATACAAAGTGCGATGGAGAGCGGAAGGTCGCGGGTTCGATCCCCGACCGCAGTGTCATACCAAAAGACGTTAAAATATGGTACTTGTTGGTCCCTGCCTGGCGTTCAGCATTAATGGGTACAACAAGGACTGGTCGGCTTGGAGTCAGTATAAAGAGTCTGAGTGGGGTATTCATGCTTCACTGCGGCATGGTATCTCAGTGGGCTAGCACTATAAAACCAGCTTTAGTCTGGGCTAGTACAAGCAGCCGCACATACACATACACGCATGCACGTCGTCATATGAGCGAAATATTCTCAAGCACGACGTCAAACCCAATTTCACCTCACCTCACCTTGAACCATGTTGTGACATTTTGAATGATCATGACACATGCACTTGGCAGAAGTGCGATGGAGATCTGCATCAGGGATCTATCAGGAAAACATTCTGGGACAGTCAATGTGCAATGGTTAGTCAATACTAAAACTGTTCATAGGTAACAGCACAGGGTAGGGTTACTTCAGCTACGTTTCCAGTGGTCCTTGAGGTGCCTCTTATCAGGGCATGACTGGACCAAATGGACACATGTTATATCATAACTTTAATTCAATATTAAATAATATCCAGAGCTGTCAGGTGGCATTCTGCAATCAACAAAGAAAATACATTTATCTGAAAACTACCCTTTCATTGGTTAATTCTAGGGATGAAAAATCTAATTAACTGTCAAAATATTCATAGTTTTTTCCACTATAAACACAAGGTGACTTGTTTCTTTGTCATCTTAAATTTTTGTTCCTTGCTATATCTAAATCTGTTTATACACTTTCATCATGAATATCTGACAACAGCAATGCACTGACGATGAGACTGTGCTGGGATAGTGCTATACAAATGTAGCCAGCAGATTTCATTCTTTACATGAAAATGTGTGATTTTCAGGGAATCATGACTGTGAATCAATGGTAATAAACATCTTAGTTTTGGCACAGTATAAAAGATTACTTTTGACATTATGACATTGATGAAAGCCATTCATCCATGTATTTGCAATTTTCTGATTTAAAACTTTGATATTACCATAATGAGCTATAAATCGAAGCATAGCCTACATTTGACTTGGTCAAATCCAACTTATGTTCCAAACCAAGACAAACCAATTAAAAAACTTTTATATCTGTGGCCTTAGGGAAAATACAATCGGCTATATGGATAATGGAACATGATAACTGTGTTCAAAGGGCATTAACTTGAGTTCATCACTCTATTCAGCCCAGGGGGGAACCCCTATGGACAATATGATCAGTGCTTGCAATAAAGTTGTGGTCAGCTGTAGTCAGTGTAACATGTTGCCTACAGGCAGGGTTAAGGCAACTAAGTTGACAGATGCCTACATCAAATGTCATATCTCTCTCAAAAAGAGACGATTAGAAAAGAGTTTTGTTGAGACAGAGTAAAATTATCTCTAGCTTAGTTTAACATCAAGTTTAGATTCCTTCCTCTTTATATATATCCCGTATAGACTGGGCTAGTGACAGAGTTGAATGATAGAAACTGTGACTGCATTATGTTTAAAAAAATTAAAAACAGAAATGCCTGAATCCAAATAAATACATGAAAATAACAGGCCCTCAAAAGGCATGGGAAATGCTGGAAAGCAACAGTAACTGCTATAATTGAGAGCAATGCATCTAGTAGTCCAAGGAAGAACTTAACATGTTAAGAAAGAAAATGAACACAAAGCTGTTCATTTCAAGAAAAATTAACTGGATACTTGATACATAAAAAGAACTATTCAAATAGAAATTTCTGTTGAAAAATCTTCGGCTTGAAATGTGCATTGTTGGAACTTGAACCTTTTTGTTTTAATAAGTGGACAAACAGCTTACTCTGTTTGTGTAACAATTGCCTTCTTGTGTAAACATCCTCCAACCCTGTACATCAACCTCAATAATTGTGCAAACATCAATCACTTAGTGTTCAACTTTACTATGTATATATACCTTGCCTCTAGTATTGTACATCATTTGCTTGATAACAGTGTTAGTAGCTACACCGAAACATCGCTAATATCACATTAAAGAAGTTGTAGATCCATAGAACTCTCCTCGTTGTTCAAGTGGACAATCGGGGGGAAAAGACCTGCAAGTCTGACTAAACTAACATCTCTTTAAGCCATAACTCCTGACATCAATTACAAAAATTATCCCAAGATCACTTCTCCTCGGGAGTCAGGATCAGCATGAGGACACCTCCAGCTGATAACATTATCAAGGCCTAAAAATTAAGGTCATGCATCCCTTGATATGCTTGAGCTGTTGCCATACCTATTATAACGTAAATTAGTCCTGACTTCTCCATATTGTCAAGCTTGTTGAAGTCGAAAATACACCTATGCCATGATGATTAATTAATACTCAAACGTATTTTGTATAAAAACATAAGTTGTTCGTAATTTAATCAACAAAGAGAACTGAAACGAAAGCTGATATCATACATCGTGGAAATGATCCTGTGCTTTCTTGGTTAAAACATGACATGCAAATGTACTAAACGTATGTTATGACGTTTCGGTTTAAAAAAAATATTTGTAAAGAAAATTATGCTTTCTCAATGACACCGATTGTTATACTCACGCTACATTTCTGTTGCAACCTGTTCTCGGCAAGACTCGAAACCCTGGCGGCACCTTCGACATTTTGACAGAAAATGATCATGTGACAGGTGGCTAATACGGAAATGACCCGATGACCCCCTCTCACTGTAAACTTTGTAGCATATTTATACTAGTATACTAAAATAGTGTGGAGCTCGATGTAATTCTTAATGAAACAATCTGACCAGATAACGGTTGAAATTAATTGATGTTCACAATAAAAAATACAAATATACTGCGTGACTACAAAGCAGGTGCGAGCCTGATGAAAGTAGTTCTCAAAATATCTCGCGAAGGAATATCACAATGAATATAGTGCGACATTTTATTCATAGAAAAAATAAATAATGAGGAAATATAAGAACACCAACAATTGCGAAGCAAATTATCAAACAACAAACAAATTGAAAATAATTAATAAGTATTCAAAACATATTTTCGAAACGAAATCAGTGATACGCATCCAAGTTGGATATTTCGGGCGATTTTCCTTGAACGATAAGTGCATATTTTGACAGTTATTATCTTCTCCATATTTCGTTATTGCTACTTTTTGTGACCATGTATCGTGATAGATGTAACCTGGAATAGCTGGAGCACGATATACACACCACTGTGTCTTAACAATTACCTTTTGTGGTCCATTTTCCGGAATACAAGTCGACGAGGCAGCCAGATAAACCAGGCCCATCTTCTAGAATGTAACAATATACATTCGACTATTCTTAAGAAGCATTCTCAGAAGAGACTCATGCTACCACATTTTGTCGACAATACTGTCAAAAATGTCCTTCCCAGAAAGGTAAGTAAACGAAAAGTTGAAAGTGGAATGATCTTGATGCATATTTGAGGTATCTATCAGCTTCCTTGTCCTTGAGTGAGACACTTGTCTCGGATTACATGCAGGTGTGTTTACATCATTGGTTTGTATGTTCATTGGGACTAAATGTTATATCTGCGACTAAGGCAACGTTTACAAAACAATTTTTTTTGTTCGGGGTAAAATTTCTTAGACAGATAGCCAGTTGAATTCTTTTACAAAATCAGAGACGTGTTGACAGTGATCATACACAGTCTATATAACCCATAGTATTCTAGCTTCCACCTCTGTTAATTGGTTATGAATGTATGTTTACGCTGTAAAAATGACTAAAGAGGTGTGTCCTGAGTGCAATACCACTTCATTGGGCTTTAGCTGTCTTCTTCCGGGGGACTGTGCTGACCTATATTGTAGTGATAATCTGTTCGGGTACATTCCACGAGTTGTGCACAGAATGCATTGTGGTATTACTGGGTTAATCAAACAATGTCTGACAAAGTTCTGAAGTGTATTTGTAGAACAACCTTTAGCATTCCCTCAATATATATTGCTAACAGTTTCATCATATTTTGCTCATCACCGTAAGCATATTATGTAACATTTTCTTATGCCACCCCTACACGCTCACTATGATAAATACCACTATTACGAGTTCCTAAACTAAGTTATGTTGGGGGTGGGGGGTGGGGGTGGTGATGTGTGTTTAAATTGAAAAATAGCATAATGCCTTCAAAAGACATTACCCAAGTGACAGATTAAACAGTCATGGCAAGTTAAGAAACATAAAACAGTGTACTCACAAGTGAAAAATGGCAGGACACAGGATCCCATCAAACATAGCAGTTGAGAATTTTAAGCACGGGGACTACAAGTTTGTACTTAGTATACATGCTTATAGTAAATAGGAGTTCAAACTTACTTGAATAAACAGTTCCAAAAACAGTACATTCTAAATACATCATCAAGTGTGGTGTTTTAGGCTGAAGAGGTTTTCAAATGCAATTGCAAACACAACTGTTTGAGGGCTATCCTCCAGATATAATGGTGGGAACTTTGCCAGCAAGAGTAGTTTTCATGGCTTGTGTGTTAAAAGTCTACCAGTCCATGGAGTTGTTCCCATGGCAGTGTCTTTCAAAAAGACTTTTAAACAATGTTAAAGATAATACGCAAATATTATGGATGACAACTTCTTCTTCATTGTATGTCACAACGTTTCTGGGCTATTCCTTGCCCCTTCGCCAGGTGAATTGTAACAAGCAAGATACATCAATGAGTAAATACTAAATGTACAAGAAGCCAGTGTTGAATGTTAAACATGGTACTTGCTGGTGCCCTGTCACGCATTAAGGTTTCACCTCCCTTTATTATTTAGACAAAAGTTAACTGAAACTGCAAATTCAAAAGATAAATGTGTACTGTTCCTTATCAACTACCGACAACAGTGCAAAGACATTTGTTTGTTAATTTGCAATCAGAAATATTTCATAGATTAAAAGATATTCGATTAGCTAGGCAACCCTATGACCATATCAACTGCCAAGGAACACTTCAGGGAGTCTATGTAACAACTGAAGCTATGTATTGATGGAAATGTTAGGCATTGACATGAACTTCCACACACATATATTGTAGGGATGCAATGGTATGGCCATGCCATGGTTCGGTATGTTTTGTGGTACATTTCTGTTCGGTTCATTAACAATAAAATTGAAGTTCCGAGAAGAAATCTTCTTGGAATTGGGACCCAAACGAAAGTGCCTTTATACGAACTCGTTCATCCAATCAAGTTAGCATGAGTTGTTGACAACAGCACTTTGGCACAGATATGTCAGAAATGGTAGCTACATGAAGATGTCACCTAGAATTAAATTACATGGAATATTTGTGATGACCCATTCCAAAAGTAATGCGCATAAAGTGAGTAAGATGATATTTTCGGTACGAAAACCGAACGTACCATTTTTTCAAAGTGAATTTCAGTGTACCAAACCCGAAATCAAAATACAGCAGTATGAATACACCGCGGTATACTGTTTCAGCCCTAATATATTGACTGGTAATGGAACATCCCATTCATCCAGTTGCATATCATTGCAGTGGCGTTCCAGCCTCTTTAGTAGATAGTAGTACCAATACAATTCTTAATGTAATGTCTACTGTGTTTCACAAAGACATTTAATGTTTTTTGCTGACCTAACTTTCAGTAGCAATGTACATGGTACAAAACTGAAGTTGATGAACTGTAGGATCCATTTCAGTGCATTTACAAGCACTTTAGATCATTGATATAATTGTTTGAATAAATTTTGTTTCCATAGCTAGTATTTACAGGGCTTCTCAAGAGTCCTGTTGGCTGTAGACAGGCTCCATGTTTGTGTGGTCAGTTACCTGTCAGTATGTTGTAGAGCTAGTTTCTCTGCACATGGCTACATGTTGCCAAAGATGCATAACGCGTAGGTACTATTTAGACTATTGAAATCACAACCTGGCACTTGTCTACTGCCTCTGTAAATGCTCAGGGACAGACAGACTCGTAAAGGTTTTAAGTTTCTACAGTTAGTTATAAAACCACACCATGGAAAACATTTTCTGATATTATGAGAAATTTGAGTATGAGTTTTCAGACACATTAAATTCTGATACACCATGCAGCATTCAACAGCAGAAAACATCATGGATTCAATATTTTCTTAAGCCTGCACAACAAAGTTTATTGACGTTTTCATGTGTGTAAGCTTTCAATCTAAGACTCCTGATTTGAAGTTCGACTTACATTGAAAATCAACATGGTCAACGACTGAGGAAAGAACTGATTAGACATATGACACCTGTCAGACTGACCCAAACATTGCTGTTAGGAATCAACTTCCTGCTTAGCCTTGGTTACCTTTTTAAACATATAATCCAATGATATGTATCTAAGATTCAGGAAGTTTCATGCGCATGAAATCAATGTTCCTAACTATTTTCTGACCATTTGTAAATATATTTTTACAGTTTTATTCATTATGAAGACATAAAATGCCTTTGAATATTTCTAAATGCAGGAGTTGTCTCCCTTTCACTGTATCACTTGCTGCCTTCAGCTTAGATTGTTAATGTAAACTTCCTGTTTATATGTTGAAGCTGAAAGTAAATTAATGTGTAAGATTTCTGTCCTGCTTGGATCCTGTTGTGAGTTCTTTAGAGTAAATGTTTGATTTAAATGACAAAAAAGAGGTTCGGAGAGAACAGAAAGTTAAATTAAATGTAATGTTTACAATATTCTATGGGTTTGTTACTTCAGAATTTGTCCATGAAATTTGAAAACTGTTACTAAACCATTCAAATGTAACTTTCTACATGTCTTGTTTCTCTCTGCTGCACATGGCAAACCTGCCTCAAAAGCTTTGTGTTTCTTGAAATGTCAAAATGAAATAACATAATCTCATTGTTTGACAGGGAAAGACTTCCTGAATAATCCCTGAAGACAAGGTGAACCCTTCAAACCTTCAATGTAAATTTATTTGATGCTAAGTCTGAAAAATATTTTGAAGAGCAACACTTAAATTTTCCCATGAAATTTTGATCACAGAATTTGAAATGATAGTTTCAAACATCAAAAGCAGTGTCTTGATTGATACTCCTACCCCTTGTTCACTTAATGTCCCTTTTTAACCCAACCCTTGCCACTACTACCCCAGGGAAAGGTAACTTTACTCATGCCCTCCTGTCACTCACAAGCACACCCATTCTGCATGGTTTGGGTTGATCCCATGTCATCACTCACCCTGCCCCCTTTGCCACTGTGGCATGTGACTGTCCTGGGACCCTTCCCTCCATTCTTTTTGTACCTTCAACCCATGCATGTGCCTGATGTCCCCACAACACCCTCTCCCGACCCCATCCTTCCCAATGGTCCAGACCTGTTCTCATGGTAACATGCGGTGCTGACCTGGGCCCCGTTTCACAAAGCTCTCGTAAGACCTAAGATCTCGTAACTTTTCTCGTAGGAATCGTACCTCCTATGCTGTAGCATAGTCTTACGACAGTCGTAGTGCTACGATAGCTTTGTGAAACGGGGCCATGGGTAGTAAGTGCACAGACACAGATACTGGAAGGCTGGTGTGTATCACATATCATGGCAGACATGCTCTCTGCTGCTGCTGCTGTATAACATTCCTAACTCAGGCAAGATGTCCACTTGCAATATTTAGTCTCTAAGTCTGTATTTTAATAAATGCTTTTGGGATCTCATGCACTTGTAAATGTAATGATTCACAGAGGAATAAGGCAATATAAACCTGTGTGATGCTTGCCAGTCAAATTCTCACACATATGAAGTGATGCACATGAACATTCACAGTATCTGACCAGTGTAAACAGTTCATTGATGACCGTATTTACTCGAGTACAGTGTACCGTTCTTCACAAAAGTTAAATACATAAATACATCTGTTTATGGTGGGAATAGACAACTAAGAATATCTTATATTAATTTCGGGCATAATTTCAGAGCTGACTATACATCATGATCATAATCACTACATTTTACGCAATGCTCAGCAGAACAGGGAATACAAGAAATGTGTATTGATGTTTCACTGTAAATTTCATGTTTCCATGTACTGAGTTCGTTATATTCTGTTCGTTCATCTGAGGCAGTGTGATGTAAGCATAGACAGTGTTCTGGATGTTGTTTTTCAAACTACTGCCTCCCCAAGACTGGGTCAGTCAGGAAAATATGGCAAAACCTGGCAGTACTTAGCAGTTAAAAAGTCAAGTTTTGTGATTTGTTTTGTGTGAATAATTGTGAAACAGTGGGGTGCAAAAGACCCCTTTCCCCAGACTTTCCAGAGGTGAGACTACTAAGTTAAATTGTGATATATCAGCCAATAAAAATAAAATGGTAATTTTTTCGTCATTAGCATGATGTGCAAAGATTCTAATGATTGTTGGAGTTATTTCTTACCTCTGTGAATATTATTTCAGTTTTGAGGAAATATAATAGTTGAATGTGCTGCGACCTGCAGGTTAAGATTGAATCCAAAAAATCCACCCCAGGTGGATGCCTTGTTTTTGTTACATCATTCTTCTTCTTCATGAAGGTTCTATGTGCTGTATCATTGTGGGATAACTCCTATTATAAAATGAAGGTACTGAGGAATGAAACAATTCATGGATCATGCTGAAAGAAAATATGTCTCAAATATGCTTTCATGCTCAAGTTTGTCATTAGGGTTGAATGAAGGAAACGTTTTTAGTTGTGATGAATTTCATGACTCCAGTAAGTCAGTCATCATGGTCATGATGTTCTTGCTTTAAAGCACTGAAGTGCCTGTCTCACCATACCATGATCATAATACATGCATTTAATGGCTCACTTGTCTTGTGTTTCTTGACAAGATGCCCTGACATCATAGACATCACAGAGTTATATTTTCAGGGTAGATCAAAATATCAATACCCCAGGTGGTTTAAATGAGAATTTGGAGTGAATTTTAATTAAGGAGCAAAACAGAAAGTTTCAGAAGCAGAAAGTTTGCTACAGTTGTATCTTCTGCTTACAAAGCAAGATTCACCTTTATTTCCGATGATTTCTAACTGTGCAATATTATTGTTGACTACAAATATAGATAGGGTACTTGACAGAAGCTCTGTCTTCCGTCTGGTGTGAGATAAGCATTGTAGCCAACTGCTGTAAGGAAATAATACACTGATGGTGTGGTCAGCACAGCGTCACTGTGGGATACATCCACCATAGCTGGCACACATCACTGTGATGGGGGAATGTCAGCATGCTTTCTATGCAGCTGTAGTAGGTAAATTGTTCTTTTCCAAACATTATTTATTGAAGCATGAACATATCATATAGTTTGCTGGTTTTGTTCTGGTACTAACCGGTGTGGATGTTTTAATGAGCTGAAACACTCTCACTTGTCAGTCATGTCAAGTGTGTATTGTTATTGACAATACCACTGTGTGTATGTGTGTGTGTGTGTGTGTGTTTTAGTGTGTGTGCCTTTGTGAGTGCTTGTGTGTGTGTGTGCCTTTGTGAGTGCTTGTGTGTGTGTGTGCCTTTGTGAGTGGTTGTGTGTGTGCCTTTGTGAGTGCTTGTGTGTGTGTGCCTTTGTGAGTGGTTGTGTGTGTGTGCCTTTGTGAGTGCTTGTGTGTGTGGGTGCCTTTGTGAGTGGTTGTGTGTGTGTGCCTTTGTGAGTGCTTGTGTGTGTGTGTTTTTTTTTTGCATGTTTGTTTGTATCTGTGTGACTGTGTGGAAAGACAGGGAGGGAGCATGAGTTCAGAAGAAAGGGAATGGAAATATGATATGATTATAGCAAACATTATGACTGTTTCTTTCTACATAATCTAGCATTGGAATAAATACACTGATAGAATCACAGTGTCAGTGACAGCAGAAGAAATCCACATATTAATGTTACTGTAAGTGGTAAACTATTTGTGCTTGGATTACTAACAAAAGCAACATTCTGAACACATTTGAAGGGATGTATGAATGAAGACGTAATTTTGAGTATTGTATGTGTAAATGGAAACTTTATTTCATAATTATACTTCTTGTAAGATATTGTTGAAGACACAAGTTTTATTTTGAAATTCAAAAATATATTTCTCCCCTATTTAGCAACTAACCTTCCAGGACCTAAATAATTTTGTCTAGACCAGTATCAGACTGCAGTAACCATACAGAAGAAATCAACAGAGTTTAGAACATGGTAACATTTTGCATTCATAATGCTTGTTCAAGTTTAAGTCTTGTGACAGTTTCTTATGAATGGTGTGACATTCCATGTTGTGCTATATGGATACATACAGAATACTAAACAATGTCCCGTGTTATATCATATTTATGAAACTTGTGAATGGTTTGGTATCTTATGAGTGAAAGTTTCATAAATATGGTATTACATGGGACATTGTTTAGTATTTTATTTATTACTCACCCAACATTAGCAAAGTAATATCTCAGAATTCAACTAACAGAACGAGTGCATTGTGCCGTCATAGCAGGGGTCATGCGTATGAATACATTTCATTTATGATTGTCAACAGTAGTGTATTTAATTTGATTTTTTATAAATAAACAAGGGGGTATGAAAAGGGACCAAATGACTTCAATCAACATGTTATTTTTTTAATATAAATGCTATTACACGTAACCGATCAAAGAACAGTTGAAACTTCTTTCCTAAGAACTCACTGAGAGACTGAGTGCAAATAGTTCCGGGAGAACACAATGTTATTACGCAATGTGAATAACGTTGTAGATTTATTAACCAGTGATATTCAACAGGTGAGTAATAAATAGATGTTAGCAACATGTGTCATGGTACGTGCATAGGATCTGATTGCTGACTGTCCTCTTTGACTTTTTTGGTTCTGCTTTTGATTAATAAATTCAATCTCAGTGATGCAGTTATTCATAAGTTTGTTTCAGGAAAAATGAATACCTTAAAGCTTAGATGCAACCAACAAAATAAGCATTATTAAAACACAATTATCATTAATTCATGACATATAATATACATTGCTGATTATGAAAAATCAAATATACAAAATTATAAGCATACAATCGCTAACAAAAGTGCAATATTTTGAACTTGGGTTTACTACCCGGGAACACTCGGGATACTGAACCCAGTCAAAGTGGGTGGGCGTGCACTAAAGTGTAACGAAGACTTTCATTGGCTGGTTCATTTTGCCGATACACTCAGGGCTCTGTGTGTGTATAGGCATCCCGGCTCAAGCCACACAAACCTATTTGAAACCATTTTTCACCCCAGCTGGTTTGTTTTTAGTGACTCGTTTGAACTCCAATTTTCGCAGGATTTTTTTCATCACGTTATTTTTCAACTTTATAAGTTGAATTTGCATTTTTGATAATTTGTTACTGTAAGCCCAACCGAAAAGTATTGTAATCTGCAAAGTAGTGTTTTGCTTTGTATATAAGCTTTAACATATAATTTCATGAATTGTAACAGAGCTGTATGTATGATGTTTTTGCACAGGTACATAAAACACTCAGAAATATATAATTCTTATAACATTTCATGATCTATATCTAGACACATCTAATAGGTTTCATCTAGAATCACCTGCTTTCTGATAAACTTGATAAAATAGCTGACAAAGGGAATCAATCAGGCTTGTAAATATCATACATATCTTTATTGAATCTAGATAAACACTGACCTTCCATGTGCGGTATGGTTTTATATTGAATAGACCCAACAGATCTGAGATGATAAACTGTAAAAGTGGCAAAATATTAGCACTTGTTTAGTTTCCCTAAAGAGTCTTAGATATTTGCCAGGTTGTTGACTGCTGATATTTGACTTAAAAATATTCAAAATACAAAGTTAAGGATCCCAATTCTATGGTTTGTTTTGACTACATAATAACTGATCTTATAGTCAGTGAAGTTTGATAGAAATTCTCTCAGTTTGAATTTGTGGAGGCAGGGGAATTTGTTACGTGCCGATGATTCTTGTTTGGGTTGTGTCCTGCCTGGGACTTGAACCCACAGTCTCAGAGTGATGCACCTTATCGACAGCACATCAAGTCAGCAATCTGACCCACTCAGCCACCCAGGTTTCCACAGAAGTGAAAGTCTGACAACTGGTAGTCTAGATTACCTACTTTGTGTACCCCTCCAACAAGCTGAAAGCTGTGAATACATAATGCCTTTTAGAAGGAGGTCAGATACAGCAAGATATGAAAGTGTTTGAATAAATCAATAACAGATATGTTGAAACTTGAACAGCTTTACCAATGATTGCTGGGTAAGAATGTATTTTATTTTGTCACGAAACTGAAAATTTATTTAGACCTGAGTTGCCATGTAAAAGTATTGGTGAAACTGGTAGCCCATTTATGAAAGTCTTTCCTAATTTTTACTTGTCTTTGACTAGAGGACCTCTCTTTTTTTCAAAACCAGGATGAATAATAAACTAAAAGCCATGTATTATCATAAAGAAAATTTAACAACAATACACAGACAACATTGCATTCTTGCCTCAAAATACACTTGAGACTATAGCCTCAGTTGATCGCCCATGGATTAGCTGAAGCAAGCTGTACTGAAACAGACTATAGAAATTTTTCATGTGTGGCTACACATGTTTAGCAGTGACAAAGCCTATCCTATACAGCCTGTGTGGACTGAGAGCTAGTGTGGTGTGTGTGAAGTCTATATGGGTCAAGTCAGCAGGAGGGCGTGCAGTGAGTGAAGACAGGGCTTACAGTTAGTCACAAACCACATCGGAGTGTACCCCATTGCTGCCACCATGATTCAGAGACTTGTGGAATATACACTGTGAAACACTCTTGGATTATGCCACTCAGGAAGAAATGGCGTTCTCTGGATTTGTTTGGATCGCATGATAATTTGTTTCTAAATCATCACCATAGGGCGGAACATCTTAATCCCTTTAGGAAAAGGTAGAATATTCTATTGTGTTGTGATCACCAGAGCATGTCAACAGGGTTTCTCATCACATGTCGAACATTCCGTCCACATCTGATATTGTAGGTTGTATTTATCATGTTATGTTGTGGTTGGTAGAGTGATGTCTCCACCCACTAGTGTCCTGTGGAAGTGCAGTCACTGACTGGTAACTTATAACATATGTTGGTGAGAGTTTACTGTAATATGCAGCCCAGCATGTGGTTGGGTCTGGTATAGGTCACCACCGAGGAGGTGTCCTAATCCTGCTCCCTTCACACAGGATTTGTCCGCTGCGATCCTATCATGCTAATTCTTGGGGTATTGGTTGCAGGATTATATACTCGCTTGCTGTGGATGAGGATTTCAGCCATGATGATACATAGACTTTGCTGGCTGTTATTGTTGTTTCATAATTGTTTATGGAGGGGTGAAAGTTACTTTAGAAAATACCTTGGACATGCATTATGTAAACAGGCTTCTTATGTCCCATTGTACTCATTAGACAGCAATCTGAATCAAGGACCTCTTCCATCTCTGAATCTTGCATGGATCTGTGTTAGATTAGGCACCAAGCATTCTATTGATTATAGCAACAGGTAAATAAGTTGATCAGGCACATTGAGTTGGTTGATTGAGTGTCATCATCTACCAGTGGCTTTGGATGATGCTCATGTTATCACCCACTGCTTTGTAGTGGTCAGTCTCAGTTATTTCCTCACTGGAATGTTGTTAAGGCCATCAGGGTTGGTGGGGTAGTCTAGTGGTTAAAGCGTTGGCTCGTCACGCCCAATTCCCGGGTTTGAATCCCCACATGGGTACAATGAGTGAAGCCCATTTCTGGTGTCCCCCGCCGTGATATTGCTGGAATATTGCTAAAAGCGGCGTAAAACTAAACTCAGTCAGTCAGTCAGGTAAGGCCATCATAAAACAGTGAACAAGGAGCATTGTGTATGAGGAGATGCTTGACGTGGGCTGGAAAAAGGAAACTTGACAGTTGATACAGAAGGTTTTATGAATACAAATCTATTCAAAATATGCTCATACAGCTTTGTCCTTACCTATGGCTCAAAATTTACATGATAAACATGCATGACATCTGTGTAAAATCTGTGTGCAAGGTCTGTATTTTGTTCCTGTGTGTTTTGTATTGGTACATTATATCATTTGAGAGTTGGTGCTGTGTATTGATACTGTCGTGTGTAGGTGCTTTGTATTGGAGAGTTTCAGTGGAGTGTCTCGCTGTGTGTCACCACGGTGTGGCAGTGTTGTGCTGCCACTGTATGTCTAGACCTACGCTAAGTCTCTGAATATATACAGTTATAATAGTGACAAATAAACCCATTTAAATTAATAAGGAGCTCCAGTGAGATGGGATTCTAGACTTGCTTCATTTAAGGTTTTAGCATTTCAGGGCTAGGCAGTAGGGAAAATTATGTGGTTCAGGGACAGTGAGACAGATTACTGTATGTTTCTTGAGTGTTGGTACACTGTATGTTGGACTTGTAGTGTGTCTTTGGCTGTAGATCTGTGCTGTGTGCTTTGTTCTGTCCACAATGGGTGTGTCATACCACGAAAGTAACTAGATTATGTGAATGTGCAGATTAATGTATATATTCAGTGAATGTAAAACTACTGATGGGATGTTGTGGCACAGTCTTTCTGTCAGTTCTGATAGACGTAACAGAACATACCGTACAAATAAGTTTTCTCATGTAAGAGAAGAAGAGAGAGTTGTGAAGAGAGACTTCATGATCACCATTTTACCTCAGCATAATGCCTGAACCATGTAAAGTAATATGCCTAAAAATGATGTGGAGTTTCACCAAGCAACAGTTTTGTAAACAAGCTCAGCAACTGGGCCATTTAGCATTGTTTAGTGTCTGCCACATCAGTGACTGAGGGATGGCAGTGCTGTACCACTGTCAGGCCAGGAGGGTTTATTTGTAGAGTTGTGACGATATATCGTAGTATCGATAATCGTGATACATTTTCTGACAATAAATAAATTGATACTTTTTTCCGTATCGTGATATGTATCGTTGACCTTTAAATTGTGAATTTTAAACACACTTTAGATACACTTTTTTAAAGAAAATAACTAAAGATAGCATATCGTGATATGCATCGTATCGAATCGTATTGTTCTATGATATCGCGATACGTATCGTATTGTAAAATTTCTGTATCGTCACACCTCTATTTATTTGTGACAGGAGCATGTTTTAAGGTCATTCTGTCTTGATGTTGTGTTAGAAACATTTGTTGTATACATTTGTTGAATTGAAAGGAAAAGATCCACCTCAATTCATTCCTTGAACATGTTGCAATGTTTGAGATTGTGTAAACGTGTCAGACAGTGCTTTTAACTTAACTGTGCCCTTAACAGGAGAATGAGCTCTGTTTTAGTTTGAATGTAACTGTAAGATCCAGTATGTAAGCTGGATCAAGAAGAGTGAATTTATGATGGGGAAAGAGGCATCAGGTGTCCAGATCTGGCCTGGTGACAACTGCATTACATGTGGGACAAAGCTGCAGTGGTGTGTCATTGTGCCCCAGGAGTGCTCAAGGAGCATGCTCTCCCAAACTAAGTTTATTGGAGTTTGTCCGATTCATGCCTTTGCCTTAAGAAGACCTATGACCACACATGGAGTACATGTTCTCTGTGGTCAAACTATGGTTTGGAGATAACATTTTGATAATACAAAGGACACCATGACATTCATTAATTTTGAAACTGCTTCGTGATTCACTGGAACATTATGTTCCCAACATTCCCTGGAGTTCCCTGGCTGCAGCCGAATGCTAGCTGCCTAATCATTGTAATGCCATGTGGTAATTCAGATGTACTTTATGGATACACAGCAGTCAGAGAATGATTACAAGATATAATAACAAGAGATGATGGCAACAATATCAAGTATTTCGGTATCACAGAGCAAGTCCTTAGGTAAATGACATCTAAGGGCAGTCTGGTAGTGTTGGGGTTAAACTGTTTGCTGAAGACTTAGGTTTGATTCTCCATTTGATTTTAGTAAATATTATTGGTGATTGGTCATATTTGGTTGTGTGAATAGTAGGGGTATCACGATTCACTCTCACTTCGATTCGAGACGATTATTGATTCAATTCGTTCGATTCGATTAATTCCGATTTGATTCACCAAAGCTGAGGACAAAGTCAAATTTGTTGTAATATCAGTTTAATTTGGCAAACTTTGAAAAATTGGCACAATGCACAATTAGAACACTGTCAAGACAAGTTGTCAACAAATACTCACCGAACAAGTGATCATGAAATTAAGTTTCAGTCACAAACTCTGGTGTCAAGTGTTCATTGTGACTGTAACGTCACTGTAAGTCATTTGGAATGATCATGTTCTGTGCAAGGAATTTTCACTTGAAAGACATGCCCTCCGGACACTTACAATGTCTCTGGCAGTGGAGAATACCCTTTCACTGGCCACACTTGTAGCAGCGAATTTTCAACAAAATTTCTTAAGATTTCAGGTGAAATAAACTCTTAGTATTAAAACGTAAGTACTTTATGAATCGAATCGAAATGGATGCATTTGAAATCGAGATCGAATCGTACATCTATCGATTCAATTTTCGATGAACCGAACCGAATCGTGACACCCCTAGTGAATAGCGTAGTGCTGAGAGAGTGACCCTACTGTCCCAGTGCTGCTGCATCACATGTACTATTTTTTCATACGTTTAGGCTATAGCGACATAACAGGACCTTTGGAAACACTGATTGTTTGTTTAGGATACATGTATTCCAGTTTCTCTGTAAGAAATCAGGAATGACATAACAAAGCTTGTATTAGGAAGTGATGATAGAGGAACAAGGAAGAGGGAGTGACCTGTGCAACTATTTGCTTTCCCTGTTACATGTCTGTGACATTCATGTTCATAAGCAAGAATTAGGGAAAACAGTACACTTTTTCCTGACCTAGAACATGTGATAAACTGATGTTGGCCTCCTTGCCTACTTCATCACTGGACTTGATTTGCAAGCTCAGTTTTGGTGGCTTGGCGTGCAGCATTGATACTACGTATACCAGGTGTATGTCAGGTGAAATAAATGTCCCCATTTGTCAGGACGTTGTGCATACCAATGTAGGTCATCAACAGGTGAAAATCAACTGAAGAGGATCCTTAAAGCATAAGTGCAGTTTTTTAAAACGAATTTAATTACAGTTGGATCATTTCGATGATATATGTGAATAATAGGTTAGGCCAGACCAATTTTATTTCTTGTTTTACAGATTTTTGTGCTCAGAAAAACCTAAAGGCAGGAGGGGAAAAAAATAGAAATGAAATCACCAGTGAAAGTAATATTTCTTCTATATATTAAAAGTATTTTACTTTTGGCAATTTATGAAGTGTATATGGGGCAAAAAACAATTTTAAAAAACCCCCAATTTTTGTAAGTTTACATTTTTGGCCAATAAAAACATTAGGATTTTATATTTTGAGTGGGGAAAATTAATTTTTATGTTTATAAAACAAGAAATAAGATTGGTCTGGCCTTAGATGTAATTATGTTGTCAAAAGATATTTTCGGCTTTGGGTTAACCCATTCAACACCGCAGGCCACTTAAGCGGCCACAACGTTATGAGTCCCCAGACACCGGAGGCCGCTTAAGCGGCCAGGCAGTAGTCACATCAAAATGAGACATAATTTTAGGCACTTACCTGACTTATGATTCATATATTAAATCCATCACATTTCACAATGTCTGAAAACACTTATTAAATTTCAAGTAATCATATATTATCGGCAGAATTAAAATTATAAACTATTTTTCGCAATGTTATTGAAAACAACGATTCTATACACATGCTTCGGCAGCGGGTCCACAATAACATTGTCAAAGAGCAAAGTAACGATGTTTCGAGGAATTCATTAAATAAATTGAATAAACTAATGAATAAAATCAACAACAACATTCATAAAAGTTGTCAAACGTACATATAAAATTATTATGTCCATCTTTTTGTGCGATCATGTAATGTAAGTCAAGTCCGCCTCAAACTGACAAGTCGCCTCAATCTTCACGCTCGGACACAATGTTTAATGCGAAAATATATACATGAAGCATTTTTGTCACAGGTCATAACCTAGCACGATACGTCCAATAAGTTCCATAAATTATGTATAGGTAGCGATTTCTTGCTTAATATGTTCAAAATAGCATTATTTTACCCAAAACTTTCGTCTAAATCTATAAGTTTTCGTTTACGAGGACGGTATCCATTGCCGTAATATGATTGGCTGCCTTAGGTCACGTGTCTGATTTTGACCAATCACGACCCTTATAGCAGACTGTAGCGAAAAAGCGTCATTAGAAACCAATTTTTATCCAATAAAATCGCTTCTTACAACTGTGAAAATACTCTCGGCAAGGGTTCAGTGATGTTGTTGATGTTCAGAGCTTTCGAACGATACCCGACATCAAACGATTCGCCTCCCATGTTATTCATACGACGCTTCGAAAACAGAGGTATTTTCCGTTGTTATGTCATGTTACCGAGCGGAAAGCCACAGATATCGGGAAATAGGCGACCATACATATTTTCTGATGACGTAAAAATGAAAATATAAAAGAAAAAGGCACGGGCATGTTATGACATGTCACAAATGGAAAAAAATCGCCATAGTTTTTGCTTCTTTCGTGGTTTATCTGGACATTATAAATGTAAACTTGCATTTTCATTCAAAAATAGTTTTATTTAAGTTGTAGTTGTATTATTTGAATAACATTATAAAAATAAACTTCATATTTATCAACCGTAGGATTAGATCTTTTAAATCCTGTATGGGTTGTAGTAGCAATAACGTTTTACAAGCTTATAATTTCCTTCATAAACATAGGCTTCATCTATGACCTCAGAGTCTCTGGGAACTCGGTGTCATGGCAGTAAATGCCTCTGGTTGACTGGTGTTGAAAGAGTTAAATAGGGTGTTTCCTGGTAGTTGGGATCCAAATGTTATTCTTTATCAGCATATGTTTTCTCAGTTTATAATAAATCAAGTTATATATGGTGAACATTGAAAAAGTAGTAGTCCACAAGGAAATGTCTCTGATCCTTATTAACTTTAATAGTTGGATTTGCAGACTTTAATATATTTCATACACCTTTTCTGGTCTTCAAATGTGCAAGTGAGCTTAAATGTGAAGTAACTCTCTTCTACAGCAATTCGTCTCGCTAGATGTGAGCATCCATGTGGTTGAATTTGTATGCAGGATGCTGCATTGCAATACTTGTCAGTATATGTCAATCAATACAGCTTTATGGATCTACCCAGCGTGTGATAATGATTGTATCGCCCAGTCATATGGTCAGGATAGAATTGATGATTCATTGTGTCAGTGTCAGTTTCATGTCTAATATTTGGATCAGGTCCTACTTATCAACAGTCATAACATAATTTAAATGTATGAAATTACAAAGTTCAGTTCTCATTTTCAAAGTATTTTTGTTGTTGTTGAATGATGAGATACCTATCCTGCTTTTAAGTATGTTGAGTTTTAGAACACAATACAGGGCTGTGGGGTAGCCTTGTGGTTAACCGCTTGCTCGTCACACTGAAGACCCAGGTTCGATTCCCCACATGGTTACAATATGTGAAGCCCATTTCTGGTGTCCCCCATTATGATATTGTTGGAATATTGCTATAAGGGGCATAAAACTAAACTCACTCACTCACTTTAAAACAGAATTTCAAATGATACAGACCATTGTTTCCCAAACCACGGATCATTTCCAGGGTGAATCTTTATTTCTGGCTGAGATAGGAAAAGCAACCATAATGGTGGACCATTGGATAGAAATTCAGAAACATGGTGAAGTTGGTATTCTGCATGAAAATGGCAATATATCAATCAGTCAGATGTGATAGTCTTTGATTTCACATGATTCCACTGACTGAAGGTCGCTATATTGTACTGAAGATAGCTAAATATCCAGTGATGGTAGTCTTCAGTGGCTTAGAACATTGATGGTCACAACACTTTGCCTGTTATCAATAATTTGGTTCTACTTTAATAAGTGAAGCAGAAATTGCTTCAAACCTGACTCAACTTCTTTGGCTGTATGACTAGTCAGGTCAAAATAGGTTTTGTTTACTTGTGAACATCATCACAGACTATTGACAGACCTCTAAATTTACAGTCATACCATTCAGAGACACCAGATGCTACCTTTATAATATACTGCTGTGTTGAGGTTGACAGGACATACACAAATAAGTCAAATTATCCATCTTTCGACAGGACCGCAAAATGATGACTTAATTAGGAATATGCAGGGTCCAAACTTATAATTTGAGACAATGATATATTGAAATTTAGAGGGGAACTGGGATCTATATGGTATTTGACCCAAGGGACCCACCACTTTCTTACATTTAATATCAGGGCCGCTCAAGGGCCCTTTGACTTACATGCTTCATCTCGAACACTGCTCTGCGAGTCTGCAGAAATTCAGGGATGTCATTGCAATATCAGCAGAGTTATTTCATGTGTTATTTGATAGTGGTGTATGATGACAATATGATAATTTTAAGAAAAAGTAGGTTCCCAGTGTTCACGAATGGTGTTTCAAAGTCACAGGACATTGGGTCTTGTAAGTTTCAGATGTCTGTCTGACCCATTGAAAATGAACAGGACCCATGGAATAAAATTAAACACACATTTCAGATTTAATATTTCTTATAATTAACATTGAAATTATTAACAAACATAAGATTTATAAACAGCAAACACGTGTCACATATAACATCTTCAGTCAAAGTCATTGTGAAATATACAGTCAGACACTGGGGCTGGCGGGTTGTAGACTTCTGTCTGACAGTTGGCGAATCTGCCGGATTTGTCAGAGGGTCAGACGCTATTCGTGAACACTGGGTTCCGTTCTTGCATGAAGGGGAGACCTGGTGAATATGAACAATACTTTGATAATCTTACTACTCCATGACCTACCAGCTAGATGGACAGGCCACAAATGCTTTTATTTTAAGACTTAACTTGTGAAAAAACCAAAAGTGACCAAAAGTTTAGAGATAGCATGTGTCTGGAGTCAGAATGACTTCTTCCACAGCGCCTGTAATGCATACTTCTGTCTTCTCTATAACTCAACCAGCCAGAAATGGTTCAAGGAGTTGAAAAACATATGTTTGATTCCCAGGCTTTAAGTTAAACATGTGAGTGTAGGTTGTTGATGAAAACTGGTGATGAGCTATGCAGATCCTGGAGAGCTGTGTAGTGCTGAATTACAGCACTGCTGCGGTTGCCGTGAACAGCAAAAGCATGCCTTCTACCCATCAGGCAACATACTACTTTTTGCTTTCACTGCAGTCTGTTTATATGTGGATCCTCTTGCCTATTGTTAGACTCACACGAAAACACTAATTACGCTATGTGGTGTTTCAACATTTCAACCATTTGAAAACTCAACAGGTTAATCTATAATTGTCTGTTAATATTCTGCTATATCAGCTCGCAACACACAGGTGGTAAGGTTTATAACTCAGTACTTATTTGTATCATCAACACACATGTTTGATAATAAATGCAGATATTTTAGAACAAACATGTTTGAGAGAAACTGCATTTTAATGCATGTTTATTTGGAGGATTGCTAAATTCAGGATGTGAATGTAATCCATGTCATCATCGACTTATCTTTTTTCTATGAACATTTTCTTTCAAATACTAGATTCCTGCACTGAATTCACACTTGCTTTATTTGGTGAATCTAATCACATTCCTTCATGAATTCGAATCATTTTTGTGATTACCAGAATGGAATATCCTGAAATATTTTACTGGATTGTTTTTTCTTGAATTGGATGGGGATTTTTTTATCAAAATGATAGGCAAAATTAAATATTTCCATGCCAACCCATAAAATAGTCAACACCGTCATATATTTTATTTGATAGTAAATTGTTTTGCAATCATTGTCGTGTTTAATTAACACTTGTCAACATGGCCAAAACATGTTGAAGTATTATTTTTGATTGTTTCACTGAATGTAATGAACAATACATCAACGGCTGACCTGTTACTGTATTCACCACCTAATATTCACATTCATCACCCAATATTCATGATGTGTATCATATTCGCTTCATGGTATATATGTTGCATTCCGATTGTATGCCTCGCTCCTGTCTTACTTATTCGTTACCCATATACTGTGGTGTTGCAGGCTGTCCAGCTTGAGTGGCAGCAAGGAGGAGGTGACCACACCCAAGAAAGAGGACTCTCCAGATGGTAAGTTCTTTTACTGCTATGCTGCAAAATGAAGGTTGAAAGGAACCTGGAACTAGGTTATGTTAGAAAATACACTTCTTTAGATACACAGTCTGTTTTGGAATATATTAATTTTATGCCCTACACATATTCAATAGATCTTCATTCCAGACACCTGTTGTCTGTATAACTTGCATGTATGAATAACGATCTTTCTGTCATTGAACATCATCCTGAAGGCAGGAGAAGTGGGCTTACATTGTATAGGAAGGCTGTACGTTTTGGATTGATGTAATAAAAATGTAGAAGGTACCTTCATGGCTTCATGGACATTAATATATATGTTATCTTTGAGGATTTAGACACTTTGAGATTGGTAACATTACCTTATTTATTTCTTTGGCTGGTTGCAACTAATGTAGATGTAGTTATTATTTGGGAAGATGTGTTGTTATTGTAGTAATGTGTACATTACTGGCTGTGTCATACCCTTCCATTAATTACATGACATAGGACAAGCTGCAAATCTATAAAGGAAAGCATATTCTCTCAGTTGAACTTTATGGAACCAGAATTTTGCTAATGCAGACTGGTCGCTTTTGAGGGAATACAGAATAGCGCGCCTGTAAGTCCTGCGAGACACTACTTTCGGTACTAAGCTGGTACCTAGCTCACTTAACACAGGCAAACTTGCGGTATGTGAGACGGGGCCCAGCTTACTTCTGGTACCAGATTCAAGAACCAGTTCTGGTTCCAAATTGCGCGACCACCAAATATGACTTTACTAGACTGGACCAAGTCGACCATGCTTGACTGTCACAGCTGTTGAAGTCGTAATAGTTGGCTCATTCGGGGTTGGTTAGATCAGAAATTTGTTATTCCTGCAAGGAATATTGGTTCCTTACTGTCAACTGACAACCATGAGACCATTCAAAAAAGGGATGAAACTTTGTCTCTGGAAGTACTAAGGTCTAGCGCAGTGCCGTGACCTACTTACAGGTCCTATTTTGCTAAACATCTGACAGACACACTTCATGTAGGAACACAGTCATGTCCCTAATTATGCAAGCAGCTGGACTTGTGCCAGTCAGTGTCTCTTGGTCAGGGCAATTTGTGGATGTGCAGTGTTTGATAGATATGTCAGGGTAGAGAGATTGTGATCGGAGTCTCTACTGGTAGAATCTCCGATCCTACTAGTAGACATTGCAATCAGAGTTTCTACTGGTTCAATTGGAGATTCTACCAGTACCATTTCCAATTCAAATAGTAGAAACTCTGATTGATCTGTGGCAAACAACAAAGATGACAACAATTGTACAAATTTATGGAGAGATGGAGAAGTGTAATAATACTTTGGGAGCAGGTCCTGACGAAGATTATTATAAAAATTACATTCTAAGCAGAAGTGATATTCAGACTCAATAATGGGTACAATGCAAAAAAGGACATAATCTTTCGCTCCGTGCTAGGCCGATCTTTCGTCCTTCCTCGATTAGCAGTTGATGATTAGAGCATCAGAGCTTACAGAGTGCAATACGGTAAACTGGTACACTAATTAGCAATAAATAATCCTCACATTTAATTTCACTTTTAACAGATTTATATAACCAAAGTTTGGAATAACTTGACAACATACTTTCAAAGAAACACTGGCTATCAATAGCAATTCACCTTTCCTTAAGACTTGAAATATAACTGTTAACACAACCTACATCTTGATTAACCCATACATAGCCGAATACATTAGTTTTTTCTATATTTACCTTAAGCTGCAATTTATCACAATAATTACTTTACTTATTGAATCTTTTTTGTAACCCTATAACTGTCCTATACACTGCCATGTTGTCAGCAACCAATAACATAAATAACACAGATGGTGATTATCAAGACCAGTGGTGATTTCAAGCTCTGTCATAATGGATACATGAAAACAAAATGCCATACCAAGAAGAACTTTGTCAGATGGGACCTGAATATTAAAGAATGAAATGTATTTTACACTACTTGTTGTTCACTCACTCTTATATTTGAGTGAAATAACCCCCCCCCCCCCAAAAAGGAAGGTGGGGAAATGACCGGCCAGATATATATTTGGGTTAGAGTTATATTTATTTACAATAACAATCATAAATGAAAACAAAGTAACAATGTTTTATTTTCATTTTGTTTTAAACATCAAGTTGGACAAATAGTGTGCACTTTTCAATGCAAGATGTCATTCTACAATAAACGAAAATAAATTTTGTTTTTCTAAATATTCAGTTAGTTTGCAATCTCTACTAGTAGGATCAGATTTGAGCTTCTACTGTTAGAGATTGCGATTGTATAAGTTATTCTATATAATCAGAGTCTCTACTGGTAGAGACTCTGATCGCAATCTCTACTGGAAGAGACTCTGATCGCAATTTCTACTGGTAGAATCTAGGATCCTACCAGATCACAATCTCTACCCTGACAGATACATACACAGTTGATAGTGACCTAGGTCATCAGACATAACAACAGCCAAGAGGGACTCCCTTTTTGCTGTGGATTATCAAATAAGTGATCAGGCTTAATGGACAGTCGGAAACTTACTTCCATTCTCTCACAGTGAGAACCTTAAAGTTTATCCACACTATTTGTATAAATGTTTAATATGCTTGAAATGTATGACCTGGTTCGTTGGATTCAATCTTTTCTGAGGTGAATGGGTGATGCTGTTGATCACTGGTTTGTCAGGTATACACTACCCCATCTACAGCATAGCACAACACTCAAATAGAATAAACTATATATTCAGAAGGTGTGTGTTATTATGATTATGATGATAAGACATTTGTTTCTCTGTAATGTCTGTAATTGTTGTGTAGGTAGTATAACAGGTGCTTTGGTCACTACTAATATTTGATCACAGTACTCTATATAGTCAATCAGCAGTAGTGCATTTTATAAATGTTTATCTCGCATGTATTGAAACTACTTCCTGAAGCTCAGAACGACCCATGACATGCGTCAGTTTACCGTTGAGCTGTCAATACAATTCATGTATTCATGTTTTGGGGTTTGTTCAAATTTCCTTGATTTGCTGATAACTGTGAATAGTTATCAAATTATAACACTTCCATAATCTCCGAGGATCAGCTAAAAAATATTAGGTGGAGTTTGCTTCACAACTTCAATGCAAAATTCTGGCAAGTTCTGAATGAACTACAATGAGTGAAGCCCATTTCTGGTGTCCCCCGACGTGATATTGCTGGAATATTGCTAAAAGCGGCGTAAAACCAAACTCAGTCAGTCAGTCAGTCTGAACGAACTATTTTAATGTTTTGAACTAATTATGAGAAACCATAGCAACGGGATTTAATTATGACCTTCATTATCAAAGTGTGAACCATCCATGTCCAGTGAGAACTGAACCCTGGAGTAGTTCCTCTTCTTATTGATGTTAATTCTTAATTAGTGGTACGTTTCAGTTTCCGAACTGTCAATCCATCATGAAATGTGCAATTGATTATTTTCAAAATGTTCGGCCATTTTCATGACCTTGACTCGGATGGTGGGATGAAGTTGTGTACACAGCACAGTGTGGCAAATTAATTATGTCCCAGGGTCCTTGAGGTTTTCACCTTTATGGGCATGAGCACCTGTAAGTCTGTTGATTTGAAGTGATGACAGGACACCTTGCTTTTCAAGCTTAATTTCAAACACTGCACTTACATACCTGATATGATTTCAAGCTGTAACAGAGATTCTAAGCCGATGCTTTGTGCTGCAGAATATTTATATATAATTTTTGCTTGGAAGTGTTATGATTAAACAAATTCAATTTTTTTCTATCCTTTCATTTCCTCTCCTTAATAGAGAATTCAATATGTTTTGGAGTTATTAACCAGTCCATATTTTTATTTTTGGCTAGTTTGAGGCCTGATTAACAGTGATAATGTTACAATGACGTGTGCGGTGTGTTTATGAGTCTATTTATGTGACATATGCAGCAAGGTATTTGTGTAAACAGAGATCTGAGTGACCTTGGTCGGCTTGGGTGATTAATATTACAGGTGTTGCCACAGAAGGATGCTATTATCATGGACGGAGTAGATATAGGAAGAAATGTGTTGAAGCAATGGAAGAGAGGTTGTGTGAAATGGGGAAATGTGTATTACCTGCAAAGCAGTGGGCTTTCCTTCAGTGTTAAGCACTATTATACAGTGTTCTGCTGAGCAGTCGAGTGAAATTCTTGCAATAATGTGTTGACTGATGCATATTATTTATGCTCAGTGGGACAAGGGGTGCATTCATGTAGATGGGTCTCAGTGACTGTCTCAAAAATATTTTGTATCACTGGACATCTGTTTTAATTACTGAATGTAAACATCCCAAGTTTCTCTGCCTTATCCATCCAAATTCAATATTGGCACCTTTCTTTGGCTTCAAATAAAAAATGGTCCAGTCAGAATTGAGCATTTACATTATTAATTGTTCTATAATTACCCTGTAGGTTTCTCCTTCAAATGACTCCGGTATCTCATAACTGACGCTGACAAGTTATTTTAGTAAAAGTTTTGGGCATCAGCCTAAATTTTGTTTCGTATTTTGTTCCAATATTTAATAATGATGTGATAATTGTTTACGATGCGTTAACTTTATATATTACATGAATTCTTTCATCTGTAATTTCACACAGGATTTTGATAAACACAGTGTACTGGTATTTTCCCATATAATGTAATATTTACTCACTAGTATTTTGTATCATGGAATACCAGTTAATACCATGTACCTCTAGTTAGCGATATAATGTCTCACAGAGCACATCTGGCAGCCAACATGTTGGCACACAGACAATGTAGAAAAACTGGGAAAGTAAGAAGATTTGTCTGGCTTCGTCACTACATTGGTCACAGCAGAATTCAGAAACAAATACTTAGACATGTCAGTCTTTCATAAATAGTGTGAAATCTATTTGATTGACAAAACTAATTTGTAATTTTAGAATGAGTACCTTGAAGAGACCTGCTATTTCCAGTGATCACCTACAACTGTTGTGGCTTAATGTTAGACATGGGATGTTGCTGCAGCGATATGTCAGTTATGAGAATGTATGACTAGCATTACATGTGGATGGTGATTCTGCATCATCGAACTGTGAATTTTTGTATGGTCTCTGAAAGTGTAGCCGCAAAAGTTTTAACCATGAACTCATGCGTTTACACTGAGAGTGCCCCTTTAGTCCCGAAGACTTAAGAACGGATCAGACCCGTGAAGATCCGTTTTAGAATTGATCTTCAATAACCCATGCTTGTAAGAGAAAGTAATGGGATCGGGTGGTCAGGCTCGCTGACTTGGACGACACATGTCATCATATCCCAATTGTGTAGATCTATGCACATGCTGTTGATCATTGGATTGTCTGGTCCAGACTATTATTTACAGACCGCCGCCATATAGCTGGAATATTACCGAGTGCGGTGTAAAACTAAACTCACTCACCCACCCAAAGACTTAAAGAGGGGAATCATAGAAACCCTTCCAGAAAATAAATCTGACTCTTTGACAGAGAACCTTCCTCTTGTGGAACCCATTTTGTTTAAAAGCTTTCTTGTCAGATTTTTCTGTTTAGATCAACCACATTCATACAAACAACATAACTTGTTAACATTGCTTCAGTTTTCATCCAGATATCTGATGTTCAGCTTGAATTGAATGTTCAGACTAAAATACCATATGTTCATACAGACAAGGGGCGGTGGGGTAGCCTAGTGGTTAAAGTGTTTGCTTGTCACGCTGAAGACCCAAGTTCGATTCTCCACAGGGGTACAATGTGTGAAGACCATTTCTGGTTTCCCCCGCTGTAATATCGCTGGAATATTGCTAAAAGCGATGTAAAACCATACTCAATCATTCGTACATTCAAACAGTTTGTTAGGTAATATATATTATGTTTTTGGTCTTTGTCCAATCATTGTAAAGAAATGTGGTTTTCATTTTGGAGCGTTATTGGTAGTATTGAACTTTGGCCATTAATTTTGTGACACAACCTAAAGCTCTGCACATTTAGAATGAATTTCTGTCACTGATATAAACATATTTGGATGAATGTTAGTGGTACATTGAGTTGGATCAGGATGGTGTACATGACTGATACATTCTATTGATTCCAGCTACACATGGTTGACTGGTTCACATTGATATGCGTGCATGTCAACAGCTTGTAGGAACAGACATTATGCATGGAATGTCAAACTCTAGTAATTATCACTGAAGCAGAAACTTTTGTTAACTGGATATATTTGTTCATTGGATATATTTGCATGGCAGTGCATGAACAATTTCTTGTTTCATTTTTATTCTTTCACAGCAGTGGGTTTTTTCTTCATTTTTTTCTGGTAAATGATGGTCCAGTATTGATAGGCAAGACTGTTTGCAAACCTTTATCACCTATGTTATATTTGGGATTAAACGTTCCCAGTTAAGTACAGATTCTAATACTTTTGTTGTGTTGAGTCCCATCTGGGATTCGAACCCACACCCTAAAAATTGGGCACCTCATTGCCAGCACACAAAATCAGCCACCTATCTTGCTTAGCCACTGCTGATTGTGTATTCAAGACATTATCAGATCAATGGCTTGGGGACAGTACTTTCAAGAGGCTTTATCACTAACCTAAGAATAGACATTGTGATCCATTGGCTGTTTGTTTCGTATGTAATGATCTTTTTAATGTTGGGTCTGCTTTGAGGAATAGCGATCAGTATTTGGAATGATTCAAAATGAGCTATGTAACCACCAATTTAGTTTCTTGTATACAAATCTGCAGCCCAGAATCTTACTGCATTTGTCCATTGCTTGATATTTGACCCCTAGTTGTTATTGATACCAAAACAGTTGTCCCATAACAGGATAATACTGACAGTGACATAAATACACAAAGACATTTCATTGCAGAGCATTCAAAGAACAATAACTGTCGACTTTTGCATGTTGGAGATACTTTTTAATACTGGACAAATGTTTGACACAGTACAACTGGATATATGCCTGTAAAATGCGTATGTCATCTGTCCAAAATTTGAGGGCTTACAGTAGGAATTGGCCACATTAAAATGTTCATATGTATCAAAGATATGAAATGTAGTGTTTCTTGCTGTCCATGTGATTTTTTTGATGATCAAACGTAATCTTGCACCCTTTGATTTGTGTATCCCTCACTCTTCCCTGTTTTGTTTCAGGAAGCCAGCTTGTTCAGCGATGTGTGATTATCCAGCGAGATGAGAAGGGTTATGGTCTCACTGTCAGTGGAGACAACCCTGTGTTTGTTCAGTCTGTCAAAGCTGGTAAGTAAGGGAGATAACTCTCCAGAAAGGGTTGTTACCTTGTTGGCTTTTACAGTGGGCACTGAAGCCGTGGAGAATTCTGTTGTCTACCTTATCGCTTGTTTAACACTGTTCTTATACTAACACTTATTAAGTAAAGTGTAATGCATGTTCCACCAGTTCCTTCTGTGTGAGCATGACAGCCAACTTGATGCTGAACAGACAAAATGTATGGTCTTTAGGACAGACAGTTATCACTTCAGGAACATGATGATTGAAACATGACATATGTTAGGTGTGCCTTTAGTATGGACACTTCGGAACAATCAAGAGACCCAGCATGTACTCTGTGTGCTGTGTGTTTAATGTTTCATAAGTAAGTGATCTTATTTAATGACATGTTGTTCATCCATCTACATCAGATTTAGTAAACATCCAAGAAGAAACATGGCCATTGAATTTTCTTTCAAATCAGGCAAGCTTCAGACCATGGTAGCTGAAATTTCTCTAATTTATAGATACCCATACACATCCATATTCCATTATGACTAAAGTTGGATGAAGGCATACAGAAAGAAAACATGGACAGAGACAACAGTACAAACATAAATAAACAGACAATGTATAGACTCACAGACGGTCAATAAGACAGAGAGAACAGTAGAGACAAGCAGTCACTCAGACTGATGGTCATACACTAATAAACTCTCATACAGACGCCATGACTAACAGCTGTACAGACTAGCCAACAGTCAGACTGACAACCACACACTTATGACTCTCAGACAGCCACACAGACTAGCCAACAGTCACACAGACTGACAACCACACACTTATGACTCTCAGACCAACACCAAGACTAGCCAACAGTCACACAGACTGATAACCACACACTTATGACTCTCAGACAGCCACACAGACTAGCCAACAGTCACACAGACTGACAACCACACACTTATGACTCTCAGACAGACACCAGGACTAGCCTACAGTCACACATACAGACACCAACAGTCACACCAGACAGCAATGTAAACTCTTATGGATTCTTACAGAGACACCAAGAAAGATGTCAGAGACAGATATAAGACATTGAAACTTTCAGAAATAATAACAGAAAGTGTTTATGTCCAGTATGTTTAGATTCTATTAAACTAATAAACACATACCGCTGGCTGATGTTTGAACCATTTTATGACCATCTATTGTATTATGGTTGCTGCTTTCAGAGGTGTTATTCAAACAGCGATACTCTTGCCCTCAATGCTGATAGAGGAGTAGTGATAAAATAAGGAAGTACACCTCCATTTACGCCCTACCTGTCACACTTTACAACTTCAAACAACAGCTGGTAACATTGGAGGAGAACAAACCAGTCTTATCTGAGAGAAAAAACATGCTCATTCCCAATAACTGTTATGTTATTATAACATGGTAACAACAAACAGTATAATGTTATCTGACCAGCAGTTTCATGGTTGTCTGATAATAGTGGAGTTTAACACGTACTTCGGTTAGAACCAAAATTCTATTTTTGCACAGTTGTGAGATATGTAAATAAGTTTACTTATACCATAAGTTAAACCATTCTATGGTTAAGAAGAGGCGGTAAGGTAGCCTAGTGGTTAAAGCGTTCGCTCGTCACGCTGAAGACCCGGGTTCGATTCCCCACATGGGTACAGTGTGTGATGCTCATTTCATGTGTCCCCTGCTGTGATTTTGCTGGAATATTGCTAAAAGCGGCATAAAACTAAACTCAATCACTTCAGTGAAGAGTTTTATTTTGAGTATCTAGCAAAAAGTTAGTAACTGGAAACATGAACAGATGTAAAAATATGTTCATGAACATTACCTTTGAATGTCATCCTATCTAATACTCTTTAGAGTTCATAAAGTCATGATGTTTTATTGGTTAATTCAACAGATCTATGATAGTATACAAAGAAACACACTCAGAAATGGATTTATGTTGAAAGTATTTTGTACATCTTGCTCAGTCAGTATTTGCTGTGGCACCAACAGTTACCTCCCCTGCAGCACATGCTGGGGTGAAGGATGGTCTCAGTTAGTCTATCTCACAGTCCCTGAACCACATTATTTTCCCCACTGCCAAGCTCTCTCTGCAGTGCTAAAGCCCTAAATAAAGCAAGTCTAGATTTCCTCAGGTTCTGAATCTCTGGTCTCCCTGGGGCTCCAATTTCAATTTAAATGGGTTTGTTTGTTACTATCAAAATTATATATTTTCAGAGACTAAGCATTAGTCTAGGTCTCAGTGAGCCTGGTAAGGAGGCCGCTCAAGGTCATCCTGTCCTGGACAATTTTGACAGTCCTAATGACATGACAAGCTTTAAGAGGTTCAGTGCTAGTTTCAATATTCAAAGGTGATTCATATTCAAAGCCAACATTGTTGACCTTCGAAGTTGACCCATAACATTTTCTGGTGTAGTTACTGGTTTCTTCGACCTCATGAAAATAGGCTCTGTAGAATTAACTGAAAAGAAATAAGACAAACTTAAGATCACAATGTTTTTGAGCCAAATTATCTCACAACCTTAAATGGGCCTCACTGACTATAGGGACATGGGCTTACAGAATTTGAGTGAATGTTTTTGATGGTGGTTTAGACAATGACCCTTACAAGGTTACATGGTGGATTACATTTTGATACAGACACTTTATCAGTTACACAGATTTTAACTTTATCAACGGCGGAGTAAATGTTTTATTACAAAGAGGTGTGTTACTCAGGTAATATGTACTTTCCTGCTTCACAACATGACATTGTGTGACTTCTTCCATAGATAATATGTGACAGATATTGGTATGAATTCATTAACTTGCACTGTTTGTTAGTCTGCAGTAAATATGGATTTCTAAAAAGAAAATATTTTAGACAAATGGGTATAAAAACTCAACACAGTATAAACATATTGTGCCGCCTTCTTCACACAATATTTCCATTGTCAATATATTTCTCTATACAATTACCATATAGGTTACAAAATATACCATGCACCAGATTCTGTAGAAAACATTTTTTCTTCCCTGTCCAGGAAACACAAATTGTCACTGGATAACTAATTGTGTCATCAATGAAAACATATATTCGTATTTTTAAAGACGTTGCCAAAGATCTGATGATTTCCTGATACGTTTATGCCCATTAGACTGATTCAGTAATAATAGATGTAATCTAGACACCATAGAATTGTAGAGGTGTGTGATCAGGTAGCTATAGAGCAAGTACCAGTCTACCAGGTAGCCAGAGTCAAGCTCTGCTGGTTGTGATGACTGGGATGACACACTGGGTGAGGATCTCTACTTGGAAATAGATTTTATCTTTATTGCAGTAATTGAACACATGAGTAATTTTATGACACTTCAGTCACAGTGACAAGTGTGATGTGTTTTAAAAAAAGCCTTGCCAGTAATAAAATAGCATTGCAGTGTTTATCACATTTGTTTACTGTTGATGTTTGTAAATACCAGCGCCATGAGCAAGCACTAGTTGCCTGGATATGTGCGCTATATAAAAAAATATCATATATATAATGTTTGTGAGACATCTTTTGAAATAATATTTGGATGTATGGAGGTTGCATTCAGGCTTAAACATTTAACTGGCAGCAGTTCATTAATGTTGAACACACTAGCCGGATTATGATCAGTTGATGTTTGGGTTCTTATTCAATATTTTTAATGGGACAAATGAAATGTAACTATTGAAAAATATGCATTCCTGTCAGAACTTCTGAAAAGCTATGTTTGTCACAGTAATATTGGGATATCAGATTTAAGAGGGTTTTTGGGGGGTGCCTCGGTCCATACCAGAAGAGGCATACCCACTTTCATCTATTGGCCCCTAGGTACCTGTGGACTAACAGGCTTATGCTAACTTCCATCCCTTTTGGTCTCTTTTTATCTTTTTGAAAATGCTTTACTCTTGATTTTAGTGGAGATCTAGACATTATGACATGTTCCCTGCTGAGTCACTCTATTAGGTCATGCTCTATCATAAACATATTTTTGTCACGCTTGGTCGATCAGCAGACTTCAAATGTACATTTTAACTGTCGATAAAATAGCAAATGAATAAAAATAGTAACTGACTTCATGATCAATGTATTTTCCCAACTTGTAACCTATAATCAACTTGCTATATCTATTCCAAATTTACGAAGGGAATACAAGATTTTAACCTTACACTTCTACTTCATTCTATTTGCTTGTAACAATTGAACAGAACACATGAGTGATTTTGCTATAAGTAATTGATGATGTCTATGTATGAACAGGCATGTCAGACCACATAACCCCCTGAAGACATATTGACTACTGATAAACCTCGGTAATGAAAGACAAATTGCCTGTAGTTACATAAAAGGCATAACTTTCTGCTTGAGTGGAACAAGAGGTGGCTTAGACATATGGTTATCATTGATACACATGGGAGACAACTCTGACACGACTGTGTGTTGGTTGGGAGTCAGCCGAGGGAGTCCTCAGGTTGTTGAAACTCCAATAAGTCAAGATGTTGAATTAATCTAGTATGTACTCAACTAGTTCTGAAGCAGATTATATCTTGCAAGATTCAAATGGTTATTGTAGGTTTGTCAACAGTTTATTGTCTTTTGATCATTCCTCCCTATTAAGGTGTATGTAGCAGACATGTGGATGTTCTATGTAGAGTGTAAATACCTGTTACCTGTGATCAGGGTATGTCTGTGGAACACATGTCAAGCTCCATGTGATCAGCTGAAGCATGGACTGTTTGGATCAGTTGAATCATACTGATGGAGAAAGACTCACTCAGCATATGTCGAATGAAATAGCGTGTATAATTAATAAATGTTTCATTTGATCTTGAGTGGTGTCATTTCATCATAATTTCCTCATTTAGTATGTATGATTTGAAATGCTAAGGATGTTCTTAAATATCTGACGCCATACTGGCATTAGCAGTGTCCAGTAGACAGTAGCTTGGCTTTTTGTATCACTTGCAATTCAAGCATGTTTTAGTTCTATAAATGCCTTTAATCTGTGACAATATTTGGTTTGATGTTACCAAGGGTCAAAATAGCACACTTGGGGCCAAAACTCTTCCCCCAACTAATCTGAACTAGTCTTCTTGTGTTGTTTTAAATAGTTTTTACCCAATTACGTGTATGTGGGAAGTTTACTACCTGGACTTACCTGCTGCTGCTCCACACCTTGGTGTTACAGGTGCACAGTGTTTTCCCACCCCACCAGTGTTGATTCAAGCTAGGCATGTAATTAGAGTCACAGCCATACGTATTGCATGGTCTTTTATGAAGCTCTTCTACAAGGCAATAGCTTGTCTCATCAGTGCAAATTTTTGTTGAAGTATTGGGAATATTCTGGGTTGAACAACTGTTGTAATAATTCAGTGCTTTGGCCTTAGAAACAGTATGCCTGGATAGACTGAGTCAGAGTTGAATATAAGTTTTGTTCAGTTTGTAAGCCATCACAATTTGATAGTTGTGGATTAAACTTATATGAGCCAAAGCAACAATCTGAAAAGTATTTGCAAAAATATCTATGAAGGATTGGAAAACTGTACAACTACAGTGCTGTAATCATATGAGAGTGGTGACTGGTTTGTAATGAGAGGAGGTTTATGATTCGTACTGATGATAATACTGTTATCAGGACACATCACTACAATTAGGGAAATCGCTGAAAACATTCAAAACCTCTTGCTTCCCACTTGTATTTTTTATTTTCTCAATTATTCTGTTATTATTATCTCTAGTATTGTTGTCTGTTATAATGTAAGAGGACCGCCTCCGTGGTGTAGTGGTTAGAGCGTCCGCCCGGAGAGCGGAAGGTCGCGGGTTCGATCCCCGACCGCGTCATACCAAAAGACGTTAAAATATGGTACTTGTTGGTCCCTGCCTGGCGTTCGGCATTAATGGGTACAACAAGGACTGGTCGGCTCGGAGTCAGTATAATGTGTCTGAGTGGGGTATTCATGCTTCACTGCGGCATGGTATCTCAGTGGGCTAGCACTATAAAACCAGCTTCAGTCTGGGCTAGTACAAGCAGCCGCACATACACATACACACGCATGCACGTCGTCATATGAGCAAAATATTCTCAAGCTCGACGTAAAACCCAACTTCAACTCACCTCACCTATAATGTAAGAGCAAAACAGTTTTAGATGATGCAATATTTAATTTAGCACCAGATATGTCCTCTGCTTCAAAGTCATACCGTTACTTTGACAATTGCAGAAGATAAACTATCAGTTCGGGTTCAGTGGTAGTGCATCTTGATCTCACATACAGGTAATAATCATGTGTACCTAAGTATCTATGATATACCAGGCAACAGTGACAGTCCCTGTTTAAACAATATTTGACCAAATGAAAAATAATCTGTTGTCTCAAAGCGTTTTCTTATTTATAAAGGACAAGATGTGTATTTTATGGAAAACATAGCCTTACATAAAGACATTTTTCTTTTTCTTTTCTGTCGCAATTAGTTGATAAACCCACACAACTTCAAGACAAATCAATAAATTTGAAATATTGAAATGCACTAGAGTCTTTGCTTAAATTTTGTCCTATCCAAGTTAAATCTATTCTAAGGTTTGTGATCATCTGTCATGTAAAAGCGCAACAACAAGTAGTTGCAGATATATGACATGCTGGGGTGTCGCGATCCGTGAACCTCTAGCAGATTCCACCAACATGAGTCAACTGCCTTGAGCCCTAGGGCGAGTGCTAATTGCCATCCTTTAAGGAGGATGATTAGTAAGTAATTAATCGCTGAAGATTAGCTGTGAAGTATCAACCAGACTAATGAAATGAACAAATGTAGAAATGTAGACTGACATCGTCAGTGTCTTGGGCGGACATGGGCATTTTGTGAATTACTGTTCCTGCTTATTTCACAAGTTACAAGATCTCACAAACAGGCCAAAAGGTGAACTGGAGCTTGTATAAATATAACTGTTTTGGCAGCGTGGAAACTTTGAGGAAATGAGAAATCTTGATGTATCAAAATATTGATTTTCACTCTACCAGAACTGATTTGGCTCTTTGCCCGGTGCTTTCCCATACAGATTTTGAAGAATTTATTGCAAAATCTTTATCTTCATCCCCGATCCAGGACAAGGGGTGACAACAACAGTGGGAATGGTTTCAACAGTTTGATATATATGTGCATGTGAATACTTAACACCATCACCCTAGTATATTTTTCTTTTGGAAATTTACAAGTTATATTTATCGTGCATATACAAATACTCTGTCATTCTGAGACAAACAGTTGATGATTGACAGGATGTTAATTGAAAATTTTGTTGTAGTCAGGATTCATTTCTTGATATCAGTGTGGTGAGATGAATGAATGAAGTGTTATAAAATCGTTATGAAGTCCCTTCTAACTACAAGGCATAGCATATGCAATATTATTGGATATTTGTTATAATTTACTGCAAAAAAAAAAAAAGCAGCACATTCTCTTAACTATGTCTCTCAGTGGGTTACATGTTAAGCATAGATTTGTTATAATATCCTGGTGTAGGTTATCTCCCCATTAAGTGTTGTCTATTTTTCCCTCCAGATGGCGCCGCAGCAAGGGCTGGAGTACAGCAGCATGATCGGATCATAAAGGTAAGGCTGATGTTACAGAGAGGACTTGCAGGTCTCTTTCTCGGGATAGATCATTACTTTACTTCTGTGTGATGTAGCTAAAACATCTCACAACAGTGAAAAATTAGCCATTTGTAAAGGATTAGGAACATCAATGAAAGTTGTGGATTCAAGGTTTTGGAGAATTGGGGCAGTTTGAAAGGATTGTGAGTATTAACTGTAATATATATATATATACAATTCATGTATCTGTTTCCAAAAATATTGTTTTGGTTATTGTCAAGAAAATTTAAACACATTTTAAGAGAATATTACATTAACATGCACTGGATTTTATTCATTTAGATAAATATTCCCCATCATTGATCCGAGTATGTAAAGTCACTATTTGTTGGTGTCAAATAATCTAAAAGTTTGAGCAATAACAATTTGAATAAACATTCATAGAATTAGGAAACAGTCCTTGGAAGGAGGTATGAAACATTTTTATTGTGGTGGGGAATCTATATCCAGGGACTTTATATCTGAGAATGTTTAAAAGATGAGTGTTCAAAGTATGCGTGTCAGGATCTCCTAATCTAAATGATTAAATGTTAAAAGAGAACCAGAAGAAGCAGTTACATGTCATGGCTCAAGCTGAAACAGATTTTGTGCCAAAACACACAGTAAAAGTATGAATCAAACTTTCTTTTGACCAAGAAATAGCAGGAAAAGAGGTGGCTTTGCAAACATGTAAGAAAAAAGTGTTCAAGCAGTAAAGTGTCATGAAATCAGTTTCTTGAAGTGCAGAGGCTGTCAGAAAAATTGATCCAGACATGAATTTCAATTTCAAAACAGCATGGTTTGAGAAATTTGAGACTTTTTCACCCTACACATGGTCATAAAAATTGAAGAATGACCTCTCTTTTGTTTTTGTTTTATAAAAATCATTGTTTATGTCTTAATTTGTTATTCTAGATGTCATCTCTGAAACATTTGTAATGTCAATAATAATTCAAGTTACAATACAGAAATAAAATACTATTTGAATTTTGGGAACCCAATGGTACCTGAGAATTCCTCATCATATGTTTATCTAATTTGGGGACCTTACATACACATTTTTAACATTAGCACTTTGAAAAGGTACACTTGACCTTCATTCTTGCTGTCAAAGAGTAAGTGTTCATGTGTAGTTGAAAGTACCATAGTGCCTCCAGTTGGTAAGCATGAAACAGCCAGACTCGGGTGTGACAGCTGGGATCTTAGAGCTTTCATTCCATTGCATGCCTCTGAATTCTTTACACTTTATTGAAACATTCATAGCTATACATTCATGATCAAATGCCACTAAACTACACAGTGGGATAAGTAACAGTGTAGCTGGCAGGATTAGAAAAGTTATGTGTGTATTAACTAGTCATTAAAAACAATCTGCTCCACAGTTGCCATCTACCTTTTCGAAGATGGGGTAGTCCACCAGTCCACCCAAAATTTGACTTGATTGAGGATAGCGGACATGATAAGTTTGAAGTCTGCTTAGCCTAATCATGTCTTGTTTTTGTCTTTTGCAATCAATTCAAAAGCAATTTTTCCTCAATTATTGACCTGCATATTTGCAAGGTTTGACTTCAACTAAGAGACTTCATTTGCTAGCTGACCTTCCCTTTAAGAATGCTGTGGCTAATGTAAGGTGTTTGTGATGTTGTGTCATGCGTTAGTCCCTCATAGTCAAACGACCTGAAAGGTAAAAGTGAAGGTCATCATAACTATCACATCTCCTCGGCACAAGGTATTGGAATCTGGCAGATTGTGTATGTGACAGGGTTAGTAATTTTTCCATACTTTCACTTGTCTGTAGAAATGATCTGCTACAGGGTATCTGGCTAGCTAATCTTTAAGTGGTAGTCCACAAGGTGATGCCAGTGGTCCTTCATGAATTCTACTAGTATCAAGTTTGCTAGAAAAGTGAATAGGAAGTTTGAATATGGGTTGGATTCATTAAAGGGAGATGTTATGAGTTCAGTTCAATTAGATTGCATTTCTTGTAACATACACCAAATTTGGGTGCGAAAGGGATTCTTCATTTAGTAAGCAGCATCAGTGTCCGTCCAAGGATGGATTATGGAGTTTTCTGGACGGAGTTGTATGTATAGTTATCCTCAGCAGTGTTTCCGTTCTCCGGTAAAAAAATCGCCGGTAAAATTTGTTGGGGACCAGTAGATTGAAAGCCAGCCGGACACGCGCCTGGTAACTAATCATGTATTAAAATAAAAAAAATCCTGGGTAAGCGAAATGATAGTCTTGGCTGTGCTTTCATGGTCGCAAAAATTGTTATGTTTCGGAAATACCCAGGCTAAAAATAACTTTAAAATGACTTTAAAATGACCGGCAAATTTAATTCATGACTGGAAAAAATTTAAGTCGCCAGACACAGTGTCTGATAAATAATTAAGTCAGCGGAAACACTGCTCAGGTTGTAGATAGTGGAATCTTAATAAGTTTATGTTGAATAGATATTACACACATGACTTCTGTATTCATAAGACCCTTTACTTAATGCTAGTTGGTTTTCCAGAACTTGCCCTAAACTTCATTGTAGTTAGGTAGAAACTAGATTTTTGTACATATTTTTCACCTTTTTTCTTCTTCTCAAATTTCATGGTTTCATGGTTGAACAAACCAACTTTATGAATATGAACAGCCTTGTAGGTCTTGGTGTAATGGTATGGATCAGATAACCTTTGGCTTTGACACACAGTCTTGATTTTTGCTGTGCCGCCACTATGAGCAGTACTTTGCCAGTACCAGACCAAACTGGTGATACGACTGACACCCCACATAGAGTCTTTGATCATGATTCATAAACGGTATGTAAGGACAAAGCCGGGTACATGTACATAGTTCATATATTACTCAGTTGTGGTATACCTGTTTCTGTTATGGGTGTATTTATGGCAGGCTATATTGCCATTCTACACATACATGTATAACTGTAGCAGATGTTGGAGTCCACCCTGTAGTCGGGTACTACTGCCGCCAGACTTCACACAAACCACCAGCTTGCCAAATAATCATCTCCCAGTGGATTGTAAACATGGCTTCCTCTCGCTCACTTCTGTAGAGTCTTGGCCGACCAGGGATTGCTTCACTTCCAACTGAAATGTCAGACTAAAGAGTAAACTTTTCCCCATTTACCTTGGTACACATGCAAAAAACAGTTACAATCAGCCTCAACATGTAATTAAGGCGATTATCTACCTGCCCACTGAGATCAGTCCTGTCTTTGATCAGAAAAGTTAGCATAACCCTAAAAAGGTAAAAGTACCTTGCTTCTGAAACTGCAATGACAAAGCAAGGTGTTGGAAGGCTGTAAGTTTTAGAAACAATAGCCAATGCTGCAAGAGATAATACTAGTTCTTGATGAGTCTTGTAACATGTTTTTAATGAGTGAGAGAGTATTTCGTCGTCTTCATACAAAATATCATTGTATAGTTTCTATAAATAAGGTTTCAACTTACGACTCCTTGTCCGTCAGTTTTCATATGATTGACCCAAAAATGTTATCTGTTTTTGTGTAGCAATTTACTTGGTGATATAACACAAAAGACAAGGGCACCTGTTCCAAATGTTCTTTCACAAATCATATGGATATTTTCAGAGATTCCAAGATGCTGAAAACAATTAGCTAAACCTATCTGAAATCTTTTGGCCAATAATTATTGCAATGAATCCTTGTATATGAGATATACCTAGAATGTGTCCTGTGAACCAGCAGGTCTAAACCACTTTGGCGGGATCATCTTCAATCAGTGATCATTTCCCTTTGCAATTAATACATGATACATCTGTGAAGATCAGAGTTAGAATTGGTCTTCAGTAAGCCATGCTTGTCGTAAGAGGTGACTAATGGGATCGGGTGGTCAGGCTTGCTGACTGGGTTGACACATGCCATTGTATCCCAATTGCGTAGATCGATGCTCATGCTGTTGATCCCTGAATTGTCTGGTCCAGACTCGGTTATTTACAGACTGCCGCCATATAGCTGGAATATTGCTGAGTGCAGCGTATAACTCAAGTCACTCAATCACTAATACATGATGTGTTACTGTAAGCATTTCTTTTGACAAAATACTTTTTCTACTGGCAACACATGTAGCAGTTGATAAGTAGTTCTACAGCATCATAACTGGTAGAATTATGTATAGTAGCAACACTTAGTCCACATGCAGATGGACAACTTCACAGTAGTATGAGAAGAATGAGTAATTGATTCTCTAAGTTTGTTACATTCTCAATGTTAGGGACACATCTGGGAACATGGATCAATATATTTTATCTCCTCAATTTGTGTCAGGATCAGACCAGGACAATTCCAGGTAAAGGCTGCTGTCACTGGATTATGCAGCCACAAGGACATTTATAACGATCACATTCAATATGTTTGCATATCAAAATAAGGGTAAAAAAGTTTGACAATGATAATAGGTGCTGAGGGAGATGTTTGGGTTGGTGTGTACATCAGGTGTATGCCATGTTGTCATGTCGGAATGACACGTGTGATGCTGAGTAGGCCTCCAGCTGTTGCCATGCAGGATAGTTTGTACTCCCATATATACCTTTATATATACATTATGCTGACTTTCCAAATATTTACTTTTGCAAACTGTTCAGTTGCTATTCAGTGAATCACATAATTACAGCCACAGTTAAACTGTTGCTCTCTCTTGGATTTTGAACCTACATTCAGCAGCTCTTGGTGGAGACAGTGAGACAGTATTATGAGTAGTGGCACCTCTTGACACTGTACCTGATGTCATGGACTATCTGGCCCTTCCATAAAAAAATGTGTCTTCTTTGCTGGATGAACTGCAGGTGCAGAAGAAGTCTTTCCTATTCAACTATTTTGTTCGAAAACAAGTTGGACAAAACAAGTTGATGAGATGTCATTTTTGTAGACATAGATAATTTTTGTGATTTCCCAGCATTTATATATCAAAGAAAGCTGGGAGTATCACAATCACTTGTGCTACCTGACAGTT